TTTAGGGTTTAGGCTGCGGATGGAGGAAATCTTGCACCACGCTATATCAACCTAATAGCCACAAGCAATACTAGCAAGAACACATAATGGGGTCTCGCTATTGTCTGACTTTCCTCTATTCCTAAAGGGAGGAGCACCTAAGGGGAAGGTAGCCTGACTTGAATTGGGCTGAGTGATGGGGGTTTACAGTTTAGGGGTTTAGGCTTCAGAAGTTCGGATTTAGAGGTGAGGGGTTTTAGGGCATAGGGTGTCACGATCTTAGAGGGGCGAGGGGCGGCGAGACCGTAGGCAGTTTAGGATTTAAGGTTCCTTCTGTTGTGTCAGAAAATGGGTTCGTTATAGGTATCGACTGATATGTGTCTCGATTCCGAGGTGGATACACCAAAGCAGCGCAGCTCACTTGTCGACGTTTCTCAGACTTGGTCGTGCCCTCTCTGGGAAACCGTAACTCCTAAATCCGAAGCCCGAAACATAAACCATATACCCTAACCCTGAACCCTAAATCCTAAACCCTAAACCCTATGTTGGGTAAGTTTTGTGCCCGGAATCTAACGCTCCAAGCTTCCAGGCCCAAGCACAAGGAACCATGCTCAAACCGACGCTCTCAGCCTCCAATTTTCTTATGAGCTATAGTCTACAGGGTTTAGGGTTTAGGGTCTGCACTCCTTAAGGGGGCTCATACAGTGACTATATAGGGTTCCTATTCTGAGGGTTATGAAGAGGGATACCAGGAGTTTGGACCATCTCCCACTCTCTTACTGTTGATGAGGAAATCTTGCGCCACCTAGGGCCCCTAAAGCATTGTAATTCCCAGTCCTTTGGGGACTTCAAGTGGTGCCCCCCAAACCCCAAACCCTAAACCCTAAACCCTAAACCAACAGTATGAAGCAGGCTCGAGAGGCTGAAGCCCGGGACAAGGCTAAGAGGATGGAGGTGGGAAGGGTTTGGGCTTGGGGGTTCAAGGATCCCATTGTTGAGTTTTTCTTTGTGCCCTTGGGTTTGGATCTATGAATCATGCAATACAGCCCTCAGTGAACTTAAGGGGTTTACATTTGAAGTTGCACCACTTCACGTACCTTCTAGCCCAGGAATTGCAGGAGTTCAACAGCTCATGGTGCTGCAAGATTGCCTTTGTCAACGTTGTGCATGTGTTTTCTCGGGCTTATGAGGTAGGACTCCAACTGTGGGGTCAGGGTTTAGGGTATTGATTGCAAGTCATATGAGGTGCTGCTTGGGGTTTCTGGTTTTGATGAGTACATGTAGTCTGCCGTGGCTGAAGGTAGAAATGGAGTGTCAGTTTGGGCTTGTAAGTATCCCTACTCCCTTATACTCTAAACCCTAAGCCTCAATTAAGCTCACATAGAATTAGCCAGCTTGTGATTCCCATGTCTACCGCAAAGAATGGTACAACTCTCATCATGAGGGCTTTGTCCCCTAAAGGGGCGCATCATTTTGAGAGACCCCGATGGCTTTAAACTGCGCTTTGAGGCTGTATAGTTTCGAGGGGATGAGGTCCATGCTGATGTTTTGGAGATCAGAGTCCCCTGTTTAATGGCGATCCACAAAGGACCATCATTGTTTCGAGCACCCGCCATCTTGCAAGGTACCCCTGAACCCCCTCTCATCCGCGTGCAGCCCAGTTATAGAACTCACACGCGCAGGAGAAGTACAAAGACAAGTTCTTCAAAATCATCTCTACGCATCATCCGGCGAACCTGAAGGACACTGGTGCTAGTAAGGGAAGACAAGAACTCTTGAGGCCCCCAGGCGTTGAGAAGTTGGATGGCGGAAATGCTGCACCAGTTTGGATCCCCAAATTTGCTGTAATTCTGCAAGGTATACAGGGTGGTGGAAGATTCCTCCGCAGTAGGACGGCGAATCCTAGAGTCTGCACTTGAACCTGAAATTGTGGTTTAGGATATAGGGTTTAGGGAGTATGCGGTGCACGAGCTCCGGGCTTTCGACCGTTACAGGTGTAGAGAGCACACAACCTTCAACGACCCCAGCATCGTTTCAACAGCCTTCACGGCCCCTACGGAATCCCTGCATTCTATCATTCCCCCTGCAATCCCAGCTGTAGTGTGTTGAGCAGGGGTATTGTCATCCCCAACATGAAACAAATTCATATGATCCTTTTGGTTGTAGTGGTTTCTAGCTGGTATGAGAACATACAGTAATCTTACCTGGTCTAGCTGTCGGGGAACCAGAAAACATCAACACTAAACCTTATAGTCCCCCTTAAGTAGATAGAATATGGCTTTAGGTATATTATAATTGCATCCCCATATACCCCATATTCTATCTACTTAAGGGGGACTATAACCCAAGGAGGTCCATCTGGATGGAAGCGAAGATCCGGAGTTGAAGGGCAAAGCCTCGAACGTCAAATGGGCTGTGCAGCAGGTTGCCCTGACTTTTGGCGTTGTATGGGAGTTTGTCAAAACTAGAATTTCTACCAAAGGCCATTGTCACCCATGTCCACCCTTTTGAGAAAGCTCCATGTGTGGGAGATTCTCAAAAAATTGGGCTCTTGTACACCTTAGGGAAAGACTTGGGATAATGAGAGATTTCAGGGGTCCTTGTTCCTGTCTCTATAGGGACCGTTTTTGAGACATGCCCATGTGATATAAGGCTAAAATAATAGTTTCCATTTTCTTTTCCATTATCCCCATATAACCCCAATATATACCCCATTTTAAGAAAGTAGTTTCCATTTTTCCATTATCCCTATAGAACCCCAACATATACCCTATTTTAACATAGTAGTTTCCATTTTCTTTTCCATTGGTCTGTAGTCTGGCGCAGGCATTGACTCGGTTTAGGGTTTAGGGTTTAGGGTTTAGGGTTTAGGGTTTAGGGAATCGGTCTTTCTTTTTCTGTCTTTATCGGTCTTTCTCTCTCTCTCTCTCTCTCTCCCATCCCCTTCTTTCTCTAGAAAAGCCTGTGTAGTATGATGGGTTTACGGTGGCTTCCCTAGGAATGCTGGTGTGAAACGTTTGGACGTCCTTTAGGAGGGATTATATTTGTGAGACAGAAGGCACATGAACATACGTGCTAAGAATCCCGCAGGTTCACCCTAAACCCTAAGCCCGAAACCCTAATCCTGAAGCCTAAGCCCTAACCCTAAACCCTAAACACTCACCACGTCTCTTTAGGCTGCTTCAGGGTCTCTCGAGTGTCAAGCTACCTGGCGCTACGGTCTTGGGTTTAGGGTGTAGGCTTTAAGGTTTAGGGCTCGAAATAATGGTGGTGGGTAGGGGCCTGGTAGAATTTTTTTCCTACAGTGGTGCCTATTTGTGCCCCGCATGTGCAAGAGAACTCAGGGCGGCAACACTTTTTCCTAGTCTATCCAAAACCCTAGTAGCTTAGCATGGCTTCCATCAAGCGCGGTCTTGTCCATCAGCAGTATATTTCTAGTGTAGAGTTTCCCTTTTAGTTGACACTATTCTGGCGCCCTTCCAGTTATCCCTAATTTAGGGTCAAGGGCTTAGGGTTCAAGGTACCGCCCAAAGGCACACTATATGAAATATTGGCCCAAAGAGCACAGCATCATTGCTTGGGGTCCTGGTACAAACAATCACATTCCCTCCCCCTTAGGTTTTGGGGTTTAGGTCCTTCCTGCTTGGGTACATGTGCAAGTTCTGTATTGCAAGCTGTTCAAGTCCGTAGTTTCAAGACCCCCAAAGTGCCCGCAATCTACAAACATTGCGCATAGTAGTCCCTTTGTAATCCCCACCATAGCCCCAATCATTAGCCCATTCCCTGCTTCTGAACTACGCGCGAGCAAGTCATGGGCAGGTCTGCAAGCAGTTCAAAATCTCTGACAGAGACGTCATGGTCTCGGACAGCCTGGGACTCTCAAGTCTCATCCTTCAAATCTCACTCTTGCAATCTGTCCCCAAGGACACCTAGGATAACCTCATTTTGATAACACACATGTGAATGTGGCTTTTGAAGCCCAAATTCTGAGGCCCCCCTTGGGAAACCACTATCTATGTTAATGCGTTTGGCACATTTGCTCTACATGGGACAATGCTCGGAGCGTTGTCGATCTTCTTACTCAGGGGGTCCATACTACTCAGAGGCTTTACTATGCTGGCCGCAGTGTCATGCGCACCCCTAACGCCCATCACCAGCCCCTGAACACTTGAAAAGAGCATGTGGGACAGCGCCAGAGGTGCTGACGGTGTGCGATGCGGACGTCATCCTCCACCCGCATTACTTTGAGCACATTAGCTCTGACTTCGTGAAGTTGAAAGAGGCCTGGCCAAACCCTTGCTTTGCTGTGCCGTGCGGCTTCAACTCAAATAGCGTTCGCAGGACAAAAGCCACTTGCGCACGATGTGGCAGGCAGGAAAGAGCAAGTTCTTCAGAGGTCCTTTAAAGGTCCCTACTAGTACGGATCCCCATATATCCCTATATATCCCGGTATACGTATATAACCCGATGCAACCCTGACTGAGTTTCTCTGAAGTAAGGCTCCTCAGCTGCCCTGGCGGAACTTCTACGAAAGCCGCGGCCTAATGGCATGATGCCTGCATTGTCAAATCCCTGGGGATAGACAGGTCAGGGTTTAGGGGTTTAGAGTCTTTTCAGGATATCTAGGGAGGAAGAATGAGGATATATAGGGATATATAGGACCTAGGGAATAGCTTTCCAAAGCAGAGTGGTCCCAGACGGTTTTCTTCCAAAGACGCTCCTTGGCTCGAAGGCCCGGTCGTCTCGCGAGTCTGGGGGCCTGCAACTCAGCAATCTGAAGCCCTAAATCCCACACTGCGTGGTTGCCAGTAGAGAATGAAGGATTGGGTTTGACCATGGAAACGATTATATGATTGGACATTATAAAAGAGGAATACTATACTGGGTTGCTGTAAGTTACCAGAAGAAGGAAACCGTAGTATTTACATTATGCCCATATTATGGTAACTTAATTCAAGTTCCTTAACAGCGTCCCAGTACAAGGATCCATTCCTCTCTTCTATGATGGCAGATAGTTTTCGAGTCTCTCTGCTTTGCCCTTGTTTTACATGGATGCCAACACTTCTGCGCTATACAATCCCCTATTGAAAGCCCTAAACCCCCGAACCCCATACCCTGAACCCTAGACCCTGAACCCTCCCCACGCTCCTCCCTAAGCACCAGAGTGTTGCAGGTACATCAGCTCCCTCTGGGAGTTTGGGGGCGTCAGCAGCATTTTATATGGATGGCATCACATGGTACCTCACTGCGGGTTTGAGGTGATGACGTGTCTCACGGTTGGGAATGGGCTAGAATCAAGCGCCCTTTTATCTCATCGGGTTCTGTACTTCCCCCACCTTTGACGAAAAAAAACCCACGTGAAGCCTGAGTCAGCCTCATCAAGCATCATTCTTGCTTTTTTTTGGGGTGCTTGAGGAGCATAAGATCCTGTGATCTTGCGTGATTTTTGGATACTTCTAGGATCTTGCTATTGTCGGCCGGTCCTAGGTTCAGTACAAGTTCGAAGGTGTAGTTTTTAAAGGGTTGCTATAGTGAATCGTCGCCAAATATAGTAGGACTGTAGTCTCCTTTTGGGTAAAATGTTTTTTGGGCAGACTGTAGTCCTACCTGATTCAGCCGCCCAAAAACTACTCATTTTTTGTTTTTGCCAGGTATTCAGTGCCTACAGCCTCCCGCTCGAGCTCGCAAGAGATGTCGGTTGCTGGGATGGAGATGTCATCGCTGAGGATTGCACAGCGAGACGTTCTGACTTTGTGGGACTAGGTGAATGAAACTTCCTCTGTGGATGAGTCATGGGCTCCGTGTTGTGATGGATTCACTTAGGGAAGTCCCCAGAATTCGTCTGTTCCTCCAAACCCTAAACCCTAAACGCTAAGAACTGCAGCTGTCAGGACCACCACGCCTTTCTGAAGGCTTGGTTTTACAGCGCGTACACCACTTCTCAGCAAAATGAGGCCGGGGTCGGTTATTGTATTGGGGCTTCTCTCAAAAAAGTGTGCCCTCAGGGAACCCGGGGATGAATGGGAATGACTAAGGGATAGATTTTAGGGTTTAGGGTTGTTCTGAGCAATAGAGACGCATAGCAGCACATTGTTGAGCAGGCGAGAAGCCTGTACTACGGCCTTCTTTGCCACAGAATTCTGAGGTTAAAGCCTTGTAAAGATGTCCCAAGTTTTCAATGAAGAGGAATGTAATCTAAGGTTGGAACCATGGGCCCCTAGTATGGGCCCTTAACCCTGGGGTCCTTTTCTACCTACTATATACCCCATATGTACCCTTAAGGGTCCCTAGACTCCACCCAAAAAGGCTGAAGGGCCTATATTAGGGACCCATAATTCTAACCGAAGATGTAGAGACCCCGACTGAATTCTGAGTATACCCTTTTCCTCTGAAGCCACATACCTACCCATGCTGCCCTGTCTGCCCCCCAAGAAGAGAAGCCCTGAGGATGTTCCAACTTGAAACTCCCCGCACTTGATTTATATGGGGATACTATACCGAGCGAGATCATATCTTCCTTTTGCTTGTAGTTTTTATGTGAAGAATATTAACTTATCAGTTCCACAACCCAAACATCACTACTTCATGGGCTCACTGCTGCAAGCAGCCATGGACTCCGGATAGCAAAGGTGCCATTGATTTCCAAGCTGGAGTCTTGAGATCTTTTTTGCGCAGAGGATCCATAAAAACTCCAAAAACCCATTCCAAAATTATGCAGCCCTTTTGGGACTCCTGGCACTGAGAATCCACTTTTCTCGCTCTCTTGTGGAGTGGTCTGCAGCTATCGAAAGGTCCAGGGGCCATGCAGGTTTCCCAAGATGACCCCAGTCAAGGCCAGCCTATACTCTAAACCTTGCCTAAATCATAAATCTTAAGCCCTGAGCTCTATACCCGGAGCCTTGAACCCTAAACTCACTGGTGCTTGTATAATCCCTATATAGTTATGTCCTTTTTTCCCTACTAACCCCCAGTAAGTAAACCCAAAGTTGTGAAGGATGACATTGTCCCACAACTCGTCAAAGTTCGGCCTGCGTTGGCCTCAGCACATGGGGGTTTCCCAGCATTCGGGGTACAGTACCCTATTGGGGGTCACCATAATAATGATTGTCGTATTTTGGGGTCCATATTGGGGGTCCCCTGATTTTCGGAAAAACTACCACAAGTTTGTGGTCAGTTTTTAGCAGCCGGTGGTTAGTGCCATTCTCCGGATGTCCTTGCATGCTCTGGACACCCTAAACCCTGAACCCTAAACCCCTAAACCCCTAAAAACTTAAACCCTAACCCCTGATTAAAGGATAATTCCTACTCCATAGGTAGTAGGCATGGGAGATCATCGCTCAGATAGGTGTCAAGACAACTTCGCACTTGGTGAGTTCTACATAGGAATGTAGACCTCTGATTAATACACCCCCTCCCCTTAATAGGGATTACCATGGGGATCCTAATATTAAGGCCCTAAACCCTAAACCCTAAACCCCTTGGTTATTAATTAGGGGTTTTCATTACTTCGAATTTGTTATCCGTTATCCCTTCATCTCCGGGCCCGAAGTTCGTCCCAAAGCCTACACCCTGAAACCTAGACCCTATAGTCCCCCTTAAGTAGATATGGGGTATATAGGGTTTAGGGATTTGGGTTTAGGGTTTAGGGTTCTAGTCCCCCTTAAGTAGATAGAATATGGGGGAGTTATATGCGGATAATGGAAAAGAAAATGGAAACTACCATTTAGGGTTTATGGTTTAGGGTTATAGTCCTCCTGAAATAGATAGAATATGGGGTATTTGGGGATCTTAGTATAATCTACCCAAGACAATATTCTATCTACTTAGGGGAGACCCTAACCTTGAACTGCGTAAAGGTCATGCTGCCTGCAAAGTCGACATCTGTGAACTCACCAGAGTCCTACTGGAAGTCTTGGGAGGAGCGGTGGCAGCAGGCTGGGCCCGTCTCATGGGTACCCTCTGGGGAGTCCCTACAATAATGATTATAGTATCCTATGGTCTATGTAGGGGTTCCCTTGATTAGGGAAATAGGGTCCAGGCAGTTTATTTTGAGGCGGTCGGCTGGGGACCCCCATAACTCCTTGATAGCCCCCAAACATAATATATCTACCTATATATATATATAGATATGTTCATACCCATACCTATAGATACTCATGTATAGCTATATAGATAAATAAGACAAATAAATGAGTAGATAGCATGAATAGATAAATACCTAGATAGATATCAAATCAATAACTGCATATGCATCCCCAGGGTCCCCATGGTACTTCAGACGCTCAGCTGGATTGTAGACATTTTGGGGTAGCAGGATCCCTCAACATGGAGGTTCCAAGAGGGTTTTCAGGTCAATGAATCCAGAGTTTCTTCCAGGAGACCGACCACCTCTTAGACAAGCTAGGCTTAAATGTGCTTTATCCCCAGGAATCCCTAAACCCTAAACCCCAAACAACATCCTCTCAAAGCTGTCTCAAACTCATACATGAGTTGATGAAAAGGATCCCTACATGCTCCCTAAAAGGCACCCCTTTAATTCCTGTATGCTCCCCAACGGTTTGGTTCTCTGCAGGCCAACCTTGAAAACAAAACCCCTTAACACGGCTAAGGTTTAGGGTTTGGGGTAAAGAGTTGAGGGTGAAGGGTTTAAGGTTCAGGGTTTAGGGTTTCAGGCTCAGGGCCTCTCCAGAAATTTGATCCCTCGGCAGGCCAAGCGACATGCCCAGGGCGTAGCCGAGGTATCCTACGCGCCTTCCTGAGTGCTCATAGTTGTCTGATGATTGCTTCAAGAGGGCTAAAGAGAACTAAAGTGATCTAAAGTGTTTTTTAAGGGGTATACAGGGGTAGGTTGGGCTTAGAGTTTCCATGGATTAAGAGTCTCTCATCAGTGCTCCCTACAATTGGACAATCATACGGAGGGATTACAAAGGGGCCTTGTGGCTTCCACGCAAAATTCTATAAGGAGGGGAAGGCTGTGAGGGGACAGCGTGGTTGTTTGGGGTTTTAAGTTTTAGATTGTTTTACAGTGCCGGGGGTAGACGTCCAGCAGAAAGATAGGGGAGTATGTTGGGGGTCACTAGTTTAGACTACAGCTCGCACGTGCTTACGTAGGTTTAGGGTTTAGGCAGAATTCTTGAAGGGGGCCCTGGTGATCTCCAAAACATCGGATATTCCCAGAAATCCTGGAAGGTTTTGAGAGAACCCCCGCGTGAACTGCATTGTCTACAGCAAAAATGTGAACCTGAATGAGACTGTGCCATTAACGCCATGGCATCAATTTCTGTTCGTGTGACCTTGATAAGCGGAAGATGCGTACAAATCTCAGTGAGCATGGACTGTACGCTAAAGTCCATCAAGTTGCAAGCCCAAAGATCGCTACAGACTGGCTTGGGGGTCCTGCTAGATTCAAAGGGGCAAGTCCTGGATGATTGCGAGACGGCAGGCGCAGCGGGTCTGAAAGCGGGAGATACTCTGACCCTGCAAGTGCGGCAGACCATGCTTGCAAGCTGCAAGTCCGGGCAGGCATTAGCTGCTACTATGGGGAATGGATCTGTTGTAGCGTGGGGTCATCCCGACAATGGTGGTGACTGCAGCAGTGTCCAGGAGCAGTTGCGGAATGTGCAGTGCATCCAGGCAAATGGTGTTGCGTTTGCTGCTGTTCTGAACAATGGATCTGTCGTTACCTGGGGTCATCCAGCGAATGGTGGCGACAGCAGCGCTGTCTAAGAGCGGCTCAAGAACGTGCAGCACATCCAGGCAACGAATTCTGCATTTTCTGCTGTTCTGGACAATGGATCCGTGGTCACCTGGGGCAATCCACTTTGTGGTGGTGCCAGCAACGGTGTGCAGAAGCAGCTGAGGAACGTGCAGCACATTCAGGCCACTGGTCATGCATTTGCTGCTGTCCTGGACAATGGCTCTGTGGTCACTTGGGGTCATCCGGATTTGGGTGGTGACAGCAGCGGTGTGCAGGAGCAGCTGAGGAATGTGCAGTACATCCAGGTGAATTGTTATGGATTTGCCTCTGTTCTGGACACTGGA